TCTCTCTCTCTCTCTCTCTCTCTCTCTCTCTCCTATACAACTGTCTTATTAGTCCCAAATGCCAAGTTGTTTACGTTCCTCGTGATAAATAAATAATTTGTGCTTGCTTGCGGCGTCTATTAATTAAGTAATCTGGTTCCAGACAAACAATGACAGATCAGAACGTGAAAAGGGCGAGAAATATTAGGTAGAGGCTCTTGTAGCAATACTATAACGTGTCATACGTCATGCTGGCATTATTCGCTGTGAAGGCTCGGTTCCTATTGCTTGTTTGTTTGTTTGTCTGTTTGTTTGTTTGTTTGTTCGTTTATTTGTTTGTGTTTTACGACCCCCCCCCCCGCACGCACACACACCGAACTTATTGACACAATTTAGACTACTTGGCAGGCGGGCCTTCGTACCTGGAAACCACGTACCTAGAAACCATATACCAGCAGAAAGTTCGAGATATACTCGATAAATATCTTCTCCCCAATCAGGAATCGAACTTGAGTCTCCTGTGTGCGACAGCGATTCTACAGCAAAAATATAATAGCACATTATCATGCAAACATTTAGATTTATGAGACAGTAACTTCTAAACCACTCTCAAGCAAGTGCAACATTTTAAATATTTGGGGACCATTATATCATCAGATCGGAAATTAAAAGCCGCATTTGCCAAGCAAAAGCAACTTTCCACAAATGAAACAGATACTCACACACATCAATCTGTCACTGGAAACGAAAAAAGGGTACTGAAAAGTTACATTGAGCCAATCCTATTATACGGGTGCGAGGCATGGGCAATCAATAAACAGCTGGGAAAAAATAATTTTGACGACAGAGTTGTGGTTCATAAGACGCATGCTGCGTATCCCATAGACAACTAGATAAAGTCTTGGTTGAAGCAAATTGCAGGAGACAGCGTATGACGAATACACAAAAACGACAGGCAAATTTCTTCGGACACATAATGCGGAAAGAAGCATTGGAGAATATCGTAACAACGGGGAAGTTTGATGGAAAGAGAGGCAGTAGAGTTTTGTTCCTTTCTGTAAAACTAAACGCAAGCATCGTTTTTTAAACTTTGAAATCTCTATAATTTCTCCTGACACATTCCTGATAATATAGAATAACTAAAATCAAATCTGGACAAAACTGAGATATACTTAGTACTGATTAGGAGACATATCATTTTACCGATTATGCGTATTCCTAAACACGTGCATCCGATCAGATGATTTACCTCAGTCGACATTGACAAATTGAAATCAAACAGATGCCAAGATTGTTTCTACTTCTCTTGACAATATAATTTCCTCGTCACTAGATTTCGTGTGATCGTTTCAACCTCATTAATAGGCTTTGTACTGCCAATAAACACATTAATAATCACCATTTTCAATTTTCACTAACTGTCAGTATTCCACCCGTTGAAGAATTTCAAGAATTAAGATTTTTCTGATATAATAGTACAAAGAGTATTGGTTTTCTCGTAAGCTTTTACGGTTGCATATGAACTCTCGTGTGTGTGTGTGTGTGTGTGTGTGTGTGTGTGTGTGTGTGTGTGTGTGTGTGTGTGTATGTGTTCGTGTGCATGTGTGTGAGTTTGTGTGTGTTTGTGTGTGTGTGTGTGTGTGTGTGTGTGTGTGTGTGTGTGTGTGTGTGTGTGTGTGTGTGCACGTGTGTGTGTTTGTGTGTGTTATGTTGTGGGGGAAAATTGATTGATCTTTTTAGGTCATTGTCTTTGTTTGTCCCGCTTCTTAAGGCAGCATTACTGGCAAAAATATACAGGACAGACAGACAGACAGACGGACAGACAGACAGACAGACGGACAGACAGACAGACAGACGGACAGACAGACAGACAGACAGACGAAAGAGAGGGGGATATATTTATCTATTATTATTATGATAGATAGATAGATAGATAGATAGATAGATAGATAGATAGATAGATAGATAGATAGTCCATGAACGAGTTTTGTTACTCTGACAGCCTGGACATTTTGACATGAAGCCTGTTCTCTTTTGCTTAGCGTTTCAAACAATACAACAGAATCAAAAGCTGAGTGGGAAATCTCCTGAAGTGTGCTTCATTAACAAGAATAGCTGGATCAAGCTGACAGTTACAAAGTTCGGGAAAAAGAGAACTGGAAGATCTCCCAACAATTCAGTCTCTGAGCGTGGTTGATTGAAAATAAATCGGAACATGTGGATTGTTGGACTCGTCTGTTCCTTTTTTTGGGACCTGATGAATCATGTTTGTTGCAATTGTATCAATTTGGGTGGATTGTCTGTTGTTAGGTTCGTTTCTTTCCTTCTTTCTTTCTGTCTTTCTTTCTTTTTTTCCTCTTTGTTTCTTTGTTTCCCTGATTGCATGTTTGTTTGAGGGTGATGTTAAAGAATCTTCATTGGAGGACGGTTGTTCATATTACAGGGTAGATATATTGTTTTGACCTATCTGTTGTTTGTTTGTGTTATGTTGTTGCTTTTTGTTGTTGAAAGAAAGGCTTATTTTTGTCCCTGTGTGTCCAGTACCCCTTGTCTAAAGAGGCGAAGAGAGCGAGGTTAGTAACGCTGCGTGCGGGGCCTCCAATAATTGTATGTCCTTTTCCAATATCTTCAGAGGAATTATGGGGATTTAGAGCTATTATAATTTCCCAAACAACCCAAGCTCAGAATTGCCCAGTTGAAGATTTGAACCTAGACAGCTCTGACCGCGGTCCGCTTACATGAAAGCTGCAAGGTAATAACAGAACCCCAGATCTTCTTTTGTAACATATTCTTTAATTAAAGAAAGAAAATGCGTTTTAAGTAATGATAATAATTATTATAAATATTCTTACAGGTGTTCTTATTGTTGAGACCATAACATTAGAAATTGCTCATTTTCATTTCTACATATAGATCTAGACCTTGAGGTAAAACGTGAAAATTTCTCATAGTTTGCCTACAAACATTGATTTTTTAAATTTTTTTCTGAAAAGGAAAAAAAAATAGAAGAGTAAGACAACAGTTTCTCTTCACTGATATGTTTTAAGAAATTATGTCGGTCATGACATTTAAAATGTCCCTAAAAATTCCACTTTCAAAAGACGAAAGTTCGATATCGATTATGGTTTTAATATTATGTTTACAGATTAATCTTGACATTTCTCTGAGCTCATTTTAAAAAATCATATAATAATTCCGGGCACCATTTCCTGATTATTAGCAAATTTGGAGAGTATTATGAGTGTCCCTGTGTGTGTAGAGGGGGGGGGCTAGAAATGTCATAATTGAATATCTTGTGAAAAGAATTAAATAGTAATATATAAAAAAGTCGTCTTAGAACAACCCTGTTTTGGTAACCCAAAAAAAAATGTCACTATACATCTGACAAAAGAGAACACACTGCATTGCACCATCACGCACATGAATCCTTGCAGCAGATGACAACGACAGTAGCAGTTAATTAAAAGTCAAAGCGTGCGGACTTAAGGATTTGCCCCATTATTACGACTACAATCCCTGCGAAGAACTCACCCTCCCCCCCCCCCCCTCCCAACCCTCTTTTTTCTGTCCTTTTCAAACGTGACAAACTCAACGAAGCCCCCCACCCCGTTTTTTTCTCTTCCATTTTCATAAGAGGCAAGCTCAGAAAAGAACCCCCACCCGTTTGTTTGGGGGTTTTTCTTTCCTTTCCAACGTAGTTTCAACAGTCATCCGCACCGTTACCAGAATGGCATAAGGGCCCGCTCAGGGATTTCCTTTACAAATATATGTGGCTGCACGGCTCGTGCAGCATCATTAGTGACTAAATTCTATTACCTGAGCACCGTTGTTGACGTGTGCGCTCCAAGCTACCGCATCCCATGTGGAAAGTCCCCGGGAGTTATTAAATATAATTAGCCGCTGTGCAGACGATGTCTTAAAGGCTGAGAGGAGACGCCACCCGAAAGATTTTCATTAATTTAGCCGAGTTGATTACAGGAGTGAATGAAGTAATGTGCAACGCCCGGGCAGTTGTTGTGGTGGTGTTGGTAACTATGGTGATGGTGGTGACTGTATTAAACATGATGATGATGATGTAATTTTTCTTCTTTTTTTTTTTTTTTTTTTGGTAAGCGTTTTACGGCGCTCGCTACTGCAAAAGGCCATATGATCGCGCGGGACACGTTAAACATTTTCAGTTGGTAGGAAATTTGGATTTTTGCCCCAGTGGCGTCGAAGCCTACTCTTATTGATTTTGGACAACCAAGGGATCTTTAATATCCGCAACTTTCACACGGGACCTCCGAGATTGTTCGCCCTTGTCCAAGAAGGCTAGATGTTTCTTCCATAAGATCAGGGGTGTGGCTGAAAGACGCGTAAGAAGAAGCCAAGGAGTAACAGTAGAAAGGTTGCAGAAGGAGTCAGGAGCCCAAAAGAGGAGGTAAAGGAGATGAGGCGTGGGGCAGAAGGTGGAGAGGAAAGCAGACAATAGAACATTGCCAGAGAGCAGGAAAGGAGGTGAAAGAAGAAAAGTTTAGAGAAGAAAATGTTCCCTTGCTATCCGGATTTGAACCCCGGACCTATTGAATGAGAGGCTAACATATTAACCTCTAAGCCACGAGAGCCCCTTGATGATGATGAGGATGATGATGATGATGATGATGATGATGATGATGATGATGATGATGATGATGATGATGATGATGATGATGAACAACGGCATCAGAAGTCTTTCCTTCACAACCTTTCAAAAATATAAGAAACTAGCTGGGCCCCCTTTCGATGAAAGGAATGATCCGAGCATTAATATCCACTGAAAGTCATTTTCCTACTATATTTACAGTCTACTGGAATGAAGCAATAAATCTTGAGAGAAAAGGGGCACACTTGTTTCCAAGTTGCCAAATAGTCATAGCGTACAGACTTTGGATAAGCATATTATGATCTAGATCTATACAGTAAAATTGATCGGTGAAATCCATCCATCCATCCATCCATCCATCCATCCATCTATCCATCCATCCATCCATCCATCCATCCGTTCATAATTTTGGTCACCCTTGTACTCCCAGAACTAGTCATACCTTTGATGACAGTTGTTTGTTTACATCAGTTACATTTAAAAATCCAGAGTTACTTGCCCCTGACTTCTGGCTCTGCGGGTGAATTATTGCTTTACCTTACGAAATGAACTAGGGTAGTGTAGTAAAGTTCAATTTTCTTCTACAAAACTTTAATCATTTTTTAAAATGATATATCTATCAATATAACTTGCGCCGGGAGCGTTTTCCATAGTTAATAAAAACGAATTTAGAAGATGAAATATATATATTTTACAATAACTTTTTACACAAGCGTCGTACAAACTCTGGGTGGGTAGCAAACTCTTCAGCGTCCAATTCTATTACAGAATCATGTGATTTCAACTGCCACCTACAACGGTTAGCGATGGAAAATTCCGCTCGAATAAACCGCCCGAAATGCACTGTGCTCTAAATTTATCAAAATTTGGGTGCCACGCGTTATGGCAGAACGCGTAACGACCCTTGTAGTGTTAACTCAAAAATCTATAATGTTACGCATTTCTGCCCCCATTGAAACTAACATGGAAACAAAAAGCACATATAGACCTCTAATTTCATGTTGGTTTTATGATGCTAGAAGAACTAATAAAGTTATGAGCCGAGAAAGAGGAAAAAAACCGGGATTTTAGCGGAAATCCCCACTCGCCGGGCGAGCGTGAAACCCCCTAACGTAACAATAGATGTATAGACTGATTCTCTATTCCACTTTCGTGGTTGTACACTCCAGAATTTCAAAGGTGTGGAATCAATGGGCACGGCTAGAGAACGGAAACCTCACTTGTTTACAATGGCGTCCTAGAAGAATGACTTTTGTGTACGAAACAAAGCATTTTGGAAAAATCGGGGAAAGCAGTTTGCGAGGATTTTGTAAAGTTAGGTCCTAGCCACGTGGATGCTGTGGACGCCTACAAAGTTTCAAAAGGTGTGGGTTAGGTTATAAGGGAGGAATTTGTGCTCAAAGCCTCCCAAGTCCACTTTTGTGTATATAGATATCACGCCTATTTGTAACTTTGGTAATTTCTTATCCCTTGTTGTCAAAAATTAAATTGGACCCCTGTGTTCTTGCTAATGGCTTTAAATCGATCATATTCATTGCGTTTCGCAGCGTAAAAGGGAATTTATATCGTTAAGTGAAACATTTCTCTTTAAATCGTGTTTTGTATTGTGCTCAGCGCGTTGTAATTTTATATTATGAATCAATAAAAGAGTTCGATACTGTATAACCATTCATGGTTCCAAAAGGAAACGGGGAAAGCGAATAGTTTATTCATAACCGTGCTTAACAGTGATTTAAAATACTACAGATGGGATAAAAGCATAAAATATTGATTGGACAAATTCATAATTTGGAGTGCTCCAATAAATGTATTCAGTAAAAGTACGTTGGAGCAAATAAAATATTGATTGGACATATTCATAATTTGGAGTGCACCAATAACTGTATTCAGTGAAAGTACGTTGGAGCAATAATATTATTAATAATTTCAAGGGTACACGCAATTATCTTGCGCCATACCAGAGAGAGTCAAGTAAGCACAAGCATCTATGTGGAGTAGTGGTTAGGTGCTTCTCCGAAACACGCAGAGGACCTGAGTTCGATTCCCGTGTGGGGAGAAGTGTTAGTCAAGTATCTCAATCTTTCCGATGGGATGCTGTATCTCTTTCAGCCCGGTTTGGTCGGTACAGGCAGAGTCGAAGGTCACCTCCTTCATGATTTAGATCAGACATAATCTATCTCCCCTCCCCCTTTCGCTCTCTCTCTCTCTCTCTCTCTCTCTATATATATATATATATATATATATATATATATATATATATATATATATATATATATATATCTCTCTCTCTCTCTCTCTCTCTCTCACACACACACACACACACACACACACACACTCTCTCTCTATCTATCTATCTATCTATCTACGTTTGTGTCTCTGTATTTCCCTTTGTCCACTTCACTCTGTATGTGTGTGCGTGTGTGTGTGTGTGAGAGAGAGAGAGAGAGAGAGAGAGAGAGAGAGAACCCAATTGCAAGGATTTTTTTAATAAATAACAAGCCATTGACTAAGCGAAGATCTATACCACCTAAACTATCACCACTTTAAGAAAAATCTATCTTGACAGCACGTTTAATCGATGACAGTAAAAGATAGCTATCCTGGATCCATCTTCTGTCGATTAACTATTTTTTGCAACGCACATTAAGATTTTTACAAGCGCCGATGCCTGTGACTGTAGTTTAAAAGATAAGCTCTGCGCTGTTGCACTCAAAAGACTTTAGTTCGATTCCGGTCGAAAGTAGTTTATTTAGGAAAGTAAAAGTAAAAACAAGCGTAAGGCCTGCTTGTTTTAACATACTTCAGCTAATATTATGCTCATCTGACATCCCCACTCTCAGTGGGGCCACCACATTTTAGTCGCGATGACGTCACGTAAGAAAGACACCTTTAGATTATTTTAAGAGAGGGGGTTCGAAATTTACTTTTACTGCCTGATCGAAGCACAACGATTTCCAAATAGCCTAACTCAGGGCGATGATACAGCGCCCCGTCAAAGATTTACAATAATTGCCTGCTCCTCTGCACTACTCGACCCTTTGCTTAAATGTCGCCGATCAGCCTTAAGTGGGGGGGGGGGGGGATTACGCAAGAAATAAATCCAAGATGTTAGCAATAAATGTGCGAATTTTCGCAAAACCGCGCCTATTTTCAGACCAGTCAGTCGCTGTTACGACGCTAAATTTGCGTGTGGGTGACTAAATGGTTGCACTAACTGGACCATTAGATAAACGGAAATGCATTTTATAAGAGCGAAATTTAATAGTACATGGGACTGAGGCTAATAAATCTAGATAGAGACTTTCCTTTTTGCTGATATACAGCGCCAGAAGACACCATAATTCTCCTATCGCTGAGCTGACTTGCGTGCACCTGAGCAATTGATTGAACGGGGGTGGGGGGTGAATAGAACACGTTTTTTTGTATTTTTCAGTCTTGACACAGCAAGCCCACTACAAGAGTCCTGTTTTCAGAAAGTTGTGTGTGTATGTGCGTGTGATTTGGGGGGGGGGTCAAATATAGAAGGACTTAATTCGCATAAAAACATGTTTTGACCAGATAAGCAAGGTGCTTTGTCTGTATTTTTAAAAAGTGAAATGCAAATCAAATCGAATACTTCACATAGCCAGTGAATACTTTAATGTATAAGTCTCGTTGTTAGTTAGTTAGTTAGTTAGTTAGTTAGTTAGTTAGTTAGTTAGTTAGTTAGTTTCTTTCAAAACTTAACAATGTAGCATTATTTACCTTTTGAAAAGGGGCCCAGAAATTGTCTCACTTGCATAACCAGTGTTCACTGGATTTGTTACGTTAAAAGAGGTGTCCTTTTCTATGCCTTTTTGAAGTTTTACTACTCCCATCAATACAATTTAAATCGTTTAGGGAGCTGATAGCTCAGACACCACCTGCCATGGCTAAGGCAAACTGAAACTGAAGTGAAAGATATACAATGTCCCAGCGCACATATTTAGATCGTCCAGCTGCTACGTTTCAACATAGGCCAACATGTAGTTCCACCAAAGGTAGAATGTTGGGGGGGGAGGAGTCAGCTTTTCATCAGATGATGATTATATCCCTCGTTTGACAAAATTCTGTTCAAGACAATGCAGGTAGTCTCAGACCTCAACAATAAGACCAGTTCTTATTGCCTTTTTCTGATAATATCTCTTTAGTAGCTAGAAGAGACTGTAAGATGTCCAATTAATATCTTCCAGCCACGGCTATTGTGGCTTTGTCATGTTATAGAATGATGTCCTCTCTCAGACTCCAGATCTCTTTCTGTCTGTCGTATTTTCACACATGGGGTCTACACATTACGAAACCCTAACTGCTCATAGACAATCCCATGAATGGCTGATTTTGGAAAGTCAAGAGCCATAATAACCTCTCCAGCTTTCTGCCGCCTACTATCTTGAAAATAGCGAGTCAACTCCCTGATTCTCAGCTTGCTTCTGACTTTGAAATTTGAAAGTGTCCTAAACGTGTGTCCTTTTCTGGAATTTTCAATCCGCCATTAAACAAACTGTAGGCCTGCTTGTATTTCTTTATACTCTTTGTATTATCTCCATACGCAGCAACATTTCACCTTCACCTTCAACTATCCCGTAGACTGGGCGCTTTGGAAGATTTGACCCCCAGCTTCCTCCACTCTTTCAGGTCTTAAGCTTTCCCGAGCGTGTCTTTGAGTTCCAGGCCTGTCCATTCCTTGATGCTGTCCTATCAACTCTTCTTAGGTCTGTCTCAACCCATGTTTGATCTTGATCATTCATCCAAATGGGTCGCCATGTCTGAAGTGACGTCACTGATGCATATATGATGTGATGAAACTGGCGGTGTTTCTGCATTTCGAAGAGCTTGAGACACGCATCTGTGCTACATACGATGTTAAGGCCCATAGTCGTTGCATGATAAAGATAAGAGTTTGATTCCCAAGTGGAGAAGCAATAAAAAGATCATCTCTGTCTTTTTGTTGAGATGCTATTTCCCAACAAAAACCAAAATAAAATGATGGTGAGTAAAACATTTGCAATAGAATGGCATCGGCGGCATAGTGGTTAGGCTAGGGGACCCGTGATCGTGAGATTGCGGGTTCGGGAGTTCGAGTGTCAGCTCTGTCCGACGGTGTGTCCTTGGGAAAGATACTTTACACGAATTTCCCATTTAATTTGGCTTGGTCCTTTCGGAGATGAGGACCGCCTCTTAAATAACCTATTATTGTTGATAGGGGTGTTAAACCTAATTTTCACTATTTTCATAATTGGTAATAAAGATTTGGTCCTATAGGTGATAGGTGAATGCGTTTTACAACTTTACTGTAGCTCTTTAATGTATTTGTTAGTCCCAACCCTACGTTTATTAGTATTTGCTTTTGTTGGGCTCAGAGTTAGCGTAATGAACTAAATACTGCACTTAGGACAAGCTTATAATTAAAAACCGTTCAAGCAGGTAAAGTTACATTACAAATTTGTCATACACAGGAATGAGATGCCATCTTGGCATAATCACCTCATTTATTTTGTTTCTGTCCCGGGGATGTTGCTTAAACTAGTGATTACCTTTCCTTCAAAGACTGTTACAATTATCATAAAAACCAAATCATGCATCTGGTGATTTTAATCATCATTTTTCAGGGATTGTTGCGTCCTCGGGACAAAAGCTCATCGGGAAATATCATCGAGCAACCTTTCCTTCATCCTATTCCCTTTAGTCATTGATTGTTGCACATAATATTATATGAAAATTCGAACTATTATTTCAAGAACCAATATTCAGGTCCCCGAACTAATTCCACGAAATTATGATAGGCCGTAATGATAATATTGATATATGAAAAAATCTTGACGACATAAAACCTTCATTACTTGTTCATTTTGGTGCTGCACTGAATGAAATCCCAGTAGAGACTAGTTTGAGAATTTTCCGCTTTGTTACAGTCTTGACACTACAGCAACGTGTTCTTTTTTAAATAACTCTGAGCTTCTTGGAGCTCATGGCAAAAAAAACCACAACGAACTCCGATCAATTGGAGAGAATCTTTAATGTTCTACACTCCTATCAAAACACGCTTTTTCATGAAATAGACAAATGCTTCGAGTCGGTCTTCCTATCAGAGCCAACTCGGAATGTTTGGGATGCTACATCCCAAAAGGAAAACAAATGAAATGATCTTCTTCCTCACATGTGATCGACCTCACAGCTTTGTCTTCTGGGCTAAGAGTCTTTAACCTCGCCACCACAGACACTGGTTGACCAGCATCAAGAAGTTCCAGAAGAGTAAGTGAAGAACGGGGAAAAAATGCGGGGGGGGGGGGGGTCCAGGTGAGGCAAAAATAAATCCTCTGTTATAATATTTTCAGTGGGCTACGAGAAAAAGTTACTGTGTACCATTCTTTTCAGAATGGATCAGGGACAAAGAGAAGGTGCACACCGTCGGCTGAGAATAAAAGGGGACTACGTTTACTTTGGTCCAAATGCTTTTTTTTTTTTTTTATAAACAAAATTGAGGCGCTTAAATGACACTGCTTCCTGTAAAACAATCAGTGCTGTTTTTTTCCGCCACAATTACAATTCTCGATGTATCCATGTCCTTGCTATTCTGTTAACAACTGGTCATAAATAATCTATAATTTATTTTTTTCTCAAACAAGGTACACGAATTTGGGCATGATCACCTACAGCTGTTTGTATTCGATACGCCCTATTCTTGATTTTACGATGGTGTAAATGTTAACCAAAAATCGTTTCCTCTTTTCAGACTAATCGCCAATAGGCAACATTTTTCCTGGTGGTTTTTCTTTGCTTTTTTTATTTAAAAATCTAGAGATGATGTAGGACACGTCAGGTTGGAGTTGGTACTCTTAATTCAACCTCGTCTGTATAAATGATGGTATATAATTTTTTTAAATTCATTTTCTTTTCAGGAAGGGGTGTTGCTTGTTTTGTGTGTGTGTGTGTGCATGTGTATGTGGGGGGGGGTGTTCATGTGTGTGTGTGTGTGTGTGTGTGTGTGTGTGTGTGTGTGTGTGTGTGTGTGTGTGTGTGTGTGTGTGTGTGTGTGTTGCTGTTGTGTTTCGGGGGGGAGGTTGTTATTATTGAGTTTTTAGAGCTGGGATTTGGGGGGGGGGCGTTGCTCCCTTGTATCTTTGGATGACGATTTGTGTTCACTTACCACAATATTTCATTCTGATCATGGCCACTTGGGGACTCAAAAACATTACATCTATATGTACAAATCGAACATTGGTGTCCAAGTTGACTTCGTCGTGCAGCATAAATTATTTCCAGCCTATTAGAACTTAAAGAAAGACGAGATAAAGTGATGCAAATTAGAGCGTACGAAATCTGAAAAACGGACATGTTTGTTGACTACGGAAGTTGATAAACAAGAATTGAAGCACATTGTTGCTTTTGGAAAAAGAGCTGGCTTACTAAGAAAACTGGATTGATTAACTGGAACCCGTTTTATCCCTTGAAGCAGGAAAAAGTTGACAGAAATACTCAAACACTAAATTGAACAGCCAGGAGTCGGTGTATTCATGGAAGATTTCAAACAGTAATTATTAAGAACCGCCAGTCTTTCAGGCATGTGTTTGTTCAACCGCTATGAACGATTATGAAAAATGAGAAAAATATCAATATTAATTTTTTTTTATCGGCAAGCACCCTTGGCATGAAGTGTTGTCGGAAACGTTTCGAAAGTTCTGAACTGGACATAACTTTGGAACACGCAGACCACAATATAAAGGATTCTAAACACCACAGAATATACACAAAAGAAACCTTCAGAATATGAAAGATATTATTTCATTAACTTCTTCAGATGTCGACGAATTTGAAACGAACGGAAAGATTTCTGGAGAGGCGAGGGGTATGGGGAAGGGGGGTGGGGGTATGTGAATCATTACATGTATAATTAATCATTATTGTAAAAGATTTTTAAGGCTCTTTCAGTTCTGTAAAATTGTTCAAGTAAAAGGCAGTACGTACAAGTTTTCCAGAGTCTGTTGTGTAGTGGCTAGAAATTTCGCCGTCGCACGCAGAAGACTAGAGTGCGACTCCTGTGTTTGGGGAGGGGGGGGGTGGTGTTATTTAGTAGCTCGGTGATGCAGCTGGGACGTTGTATCCCTGTCAGCCTAGGTTGCCCTTAAACAAAGGGTCGAAGCCCGTTTCCTATTATAACAAGTGAGCAATCTGTTGGAGCCAATCGGATAACTTGAGAACGACAAATGTACGCCATTGGCCGATATTTATAGTAACAGCCATCTTGTTTGACGTCATTGAGGGATTCCCACTTTGTTGTCGTCCACGGTGGTAACACGACCGCAAAGCACTATTCCAGTATTTTTAAAGCCTGTAGCTTACAGTGGCAGGGTGGCGGAGTGGTTAGTGCGCTTGTCTCAAAAACAGAAGTCCAGGTTCAAGCCTCAGTTCGGCCACGGATTTTTTTTTCGCCCCTCCTGCCCACCCACCTGTAATGGGTACCTGACTTTGAGTTTGGGAAGTAAAGGACTATTTTTTTTTCTCAAAAAAGTATATAAGATAACTGAAAAACCATGTGATGTCGTGACTTTGATGGATTTAGAAAACATACCAAAAAATTGTCATTTTCCTACAATGACCGCCATTACCATGGCAACCGCTAGATTCATCCACAAAATAGAAGATTGCAGATTACTCACAATACGACCTTTAATATATAAGTGAATTTTGAGGTCTCTATAGTTGTGTGTTAGGTGTGAGAAGCTGAATTTTTTTGAATTAGTCCTTTACTTCCCCAGCACGAAGTCAGGTACCCATTACAGGTGGGTGGGCCAAAAAAAAATCCATGGCCGAACCGAAGCTCGAACCTGGACTTTCTGCTTTGGAGACAAGCGCACTAACCACTCCGCCACCACGCCACTGTAGGCTACAGTAGAATACTGCAATAGTGCTTTGCAGTCGTGTTGCCACCGTGAACGACAACAAAGTGGGAATCCCTCAATGACGTCAAACAAGATGGCTGTTACTATAAATATCGGCCAATGGCGTACATGCGTCGTTCTCAAGTTACCCGCATGTGAGCCATTCCAGTTGACATATCAAGCATACCACAGTAAAGAAACATCACTTCTTCAAGTTACGAATGAATAACATGCGTGTTTCTCTTTTTTTTAGTACTTTCTAGTAACACATCTAATCTTCGGTGCTTACACGATCTCTTTGTGTTGCAAGAGCAGTAAAAAAAAACTCTTACGAAAGCTTAGATTAAACGGAACTAGTTACTCGTGTCCCTTGGGACGTAACACTTATACTTGTAAAAATAAGTTTCAAAGAAACATTCTCTGGCTAAAACAAGCCAGTTAGGTGGAGAGCCATGAAGACTACTCTAACAACGAGGGTTTCAGAACGTCGTAATACGGGGGCTCTCGTGATCTAGAGGTTACGGTGCTCGCCTTTCATTCGATAGGTCCCGGGTTCGAAACCTGACAGCGACGGAAAAAACAAATTTTCTTCTCCAAAATGCTCTCCTTTCACCTCCTATCCTGCTCTTTAACCATGTGTTCTGTCGTCTGTTTTCGTCTCCATTTTTTGCCCTCCCCCCATCCCCACCCCCACCCCTTCCTCTGACTCTTTCTGCAGCCTTTCTACTGCTACTCTTTAGCTTACCAAAACAAACTAAACGCCGTAATGCGTACACGAACGGCGATCATACCAATTAAAAATAGTGTATACAAGATAGTCCACTCCTCTTATTGAGCCAATTAAAAAATTGCTCTTAAAATTCGGTGGCACCCTCTTCGAAAAAGCGCGGACTTTGCTTACAGTTACTCTACTAGTATGAAAAAACAATAAAAGTGAAACTAACAAACTGTGCTGTTCCTATTCTTTCAAAGCGGCAGCGGCAGCGCCATCTGAACCAATGCGCGGACTTTTTGGCTGAGTGAACTATCTTGTTATGTACGATCTTTGGTGACAGCCATTTTTTAAAAAAAAATCGAGACAACCATTCCAGTTGTTTAAAGATGTCGTTTTGGCATCGATTCACCTGGCTGGATTTTATCATTCTCTCAGAAAGATGTTCGCTGTCTGTTTTGACTTGGTTTTCTGACCTTTTCCTGTGAATGTATTCCCCTCTCTATCGATAATAAGCCGGTCTCTCAATGGGAGGAAAATCTATACACAATTACTTCATATTTGAACACTTTCACTTCACATAACTTATACTTTCTCTAAGAAAAACAGAATTTACCAAGAGTCTATCAAACCTCAAAGTACGGGTTAAGAAAATCGCCTCTGGCGCACAAGAACGGATCTTTTTTTTTTTTTTTTAATCGGATGTCCCCAACGACCCGAAGACAGAGGGTCGATGGCAGCACAAAACATCAGCACGACCATAATCTTCAAAGCTGTAATCCACCAGTCCCAAGACAAAAAAGCGACAAGGGAATTTCGGTAAAGGTCTACTTCGCCAAAGTCCCCACCCCTACCACCAGTGTAAAAATAAGCCAAAATGTATTATTTTTCTTCTTTTGTGTGTATGGGTGTATGTGTGTGCGTGTGTGTTTGTGAGTGTGTATATGTGTGTGTCTGTCTGTTTGTGTGTTTATGTGCGTGTGCATTGCGTCACGACTGCCCCATTTTAGCCCTATACAGAGAACAGAGACCCCAGATGTACATAGATCTAGTTGGTTAAGTATATTTTTAATATGGAAAAGGGGGGGGGATTAAACTTTTACCGGAAGATCAATTGTGTTACTGTAGCAGGATGGCTACTACAATGAAGCTTTTTTATAAGACACCTGCAGGATTGTAGACTGTAGTAGTAGTAGTAGTAGTAGTAGTAGTAGTAGTAGTAGTAGTAGT